ATAATTTTAATCCGGGCTACCTGGGAAAACCAGGAACCGTTGTTTGCAGTGCAGTGAATAATAATATTCGTCGTTTGGAGACGGGCCCGCCACTGAAATTCAAAGGGTGAGACATCTGACCGATTTTCGGTGATACAAAAAGTATGACCGAAAAACGGTCATACACAAATGTATGACCGAAAAACGGTCATACTTAAATGTATGACCAAAAAAACGGTCAGACATCAGCGAGACTGGCTATTGTTTAGCTTAGAGATATATCAGCCGTGATACACTATAAAGTATGACCGTTTTTCGGTCATACATCGAAGTATGACCGTTTTACGGTCTTACATCGAAGTATGGCCGTTTTTCGGTCGTACATTTCAGTAAGACCGTTTAAGCGGTCAAAAGTATGACCTTTCTATTTTCCGGGGTGGATCAGTTGACCTACCTCTCAGTTGACCTACCCATATTTCTAATCCAGAAATATTGATAGAAATATTGAATAAATCTGTATTATAGAAATATTCGAAAACCCTATTTTTAATCGTTTCACTTGACCGACCTCTCAGTTGACCTACCCAATAGAAATATTCAATAGAAATATTCAATAGAAATATTCAATAGAAATATTCAATAGAAATATTCAATAGAAATATTCAATAGAAATATTCAATAGAAATATTCAATTGAAGGGTCTCACCCGACTTGCCACCGCGGCACCATGCTGTGGACCCCTCTACCCATCAGCGCATCATACGGGAGACGGTCAAAACGGGCCCGTCAAAACCACAGGTGAGTGCTGTGCTGCCTACCGAGCCGGGCGCTCGTCACCTCACAGAGCGGTGCAGTCCGTTCCCGTTCCCAGTACCCCCGTCTGTTCAAGAGCGGATGCAGAGACGGGTTTCGGAGAGGGGGGGGGTGTACCGCAGCGTTTCTTTGCGCCCAGTGGACGTGGACTTTGGCGGAGCAGGTTCACCTGTTCACCAGGTGGAACGCGAAACACTATGGAACGAGGGACACTAGCGTTCTGGAACTCATGCTTGAAAACTCCGGACCTTTGACTGAGAGCCATCTGGAGCGGGCAAGCCCCCAACCCTTTAGTTCCGGGACTCGCTAATCCAAGTACCCGGGTTAAAGACACTGGTTTTGAGCGCCTTAAGCGAGGGGGTATGCACTCGCGTAATAGTCGGTTCACTCTATGTGTAATAGCACGCGTAATAATACGCGTAATAGTCGCGTAATAGCCGAAATTGTCAAAATTTTATCATTTTTGGTGTATTTTAGGCCGTTTTTAGCTATATTCCGATTAATTTGTGACGTAATAGAGCGTAATAGCGTAATACGTAGTCGGTACACAGGTTCAGAGAGCGCATACCCCCTCGGTCTTAAGTGTGTTATGGCTTCCATAACCACGCTGTCCCAAGAAACCACGATGGAGGGAGATTCGATGGCCACAAAGGGCTCGCTGAGCCTAGACACTCCCTCAACTGTGAAAGAAGCCCAGCCTCGCACTATGAACACTGAGCTCTTAGTAGCGCCTGGGGGGTAGGCTTGCCTAGTCGTGCGTCCAGGGCGTAAGTGTTGCCTACCCGCCCGGCGCTCCCGGCCCTGTCCGGTCCAGTCCAGCGCGTGGCCACGGGGCTCACAGTGGTTTGCTGGTATTTGCCGACATACTGTAATGATGGTACCTTGGAGGAGGAGGCGAGGTGATTGCGGGGAAATGATCGGATGCTGCACCACGGGAATCGTTTGCAACGTATAAAAAGGTGATGTGTTAACCATACCCGACCAGAAAGAGGTCACGTAAACGTGCTGCTCAAGAACTGAACCCATTCAGTAAATACTGGCAGCCCTAGCGTGCGTCACATAGATTGCCACTTGTAAGTACTCCTTCACTCGACGCCACCCGTGTCCATCCGTGCTATCGGGACGTCGTGTGTGGGCACTGGCCGCAGTGACGCTAGTGACATCCTGTCGATACTCCACGCGTGCGCGCACCTGCGAAATACGGCGCTCATGTCGCATGCGTTGTGTATCGGTGGGCCATGCTTTGGTCGCAGCTTGTGTTGCTACAGCGTGTCCCAACCGTTGCTCAAGAAACGACATTGTCCATACCCCAGGCGCGAAAAGGGATCTTGCATGGCGTTGCTGTAACGTCCCTCGGTCGTGGGGTAGCGATGAGTCTTTCCCTTGGCCGGACAGTGACTTAGAAACGTGTCAAGCTTGGCTTATTTTTCTTTTAATCAAATTAAATGCGACATGTGAGAAGGGGATCAGATACATTTAATGCAAATTTATTCAGGTGCAATGTTATGTTTGTTTACAGGAACCAGCAGAGGTACAGTGAAGGCAAGAATTCCATGGACCAGGAGACACAAAAGCCTTGGGTTAATTTGGCAGTGAATAAAAGATTTGTTCTCAACACATTTGGTACTGTTATTTTCCATTTATTTCTTTATCACTCATGCATACATGACCACTTGTAACACTAGTATCACTGAAAGAAATTAAAATAAATGTGTACATCTATAATATTTTGGACATAGCATAATTAAATAACACAGTTTGGAAAGCGCATAGTACTGAAGGCAAAGGCAGGTAAAAAAAGGCGCAAGCCAAGCGCTCAGAGCAAGGGCAATCAAAGCAGAATGTACACGCAAGTCAACTTACTGCTAAGTTAAACGAGGCAATAGTATAAAGCATAAAACAAAGAGCAACCAAGCAAAGCGCAGGCTCCAGTAAGCAGAGGTAATTCAAGCAGAGCGTGCAAGCCAGTTTTAGAAATAATTATCCCTTAAAAGCAAAATCCCAACTAACTGAACGCATGGCTGGAAGTATAACGAGACATGCACAAAGCAGTGGCAATCAAAGCAGAACGTACAAGCAAGTCAACTTACTGCTGAGTGAAACGAGGCAATAGTATAAAGCATAAAACAAAGAGCAACCAAGCAAAGCGCGGGCTCCAGTAAGCAGAGGTAATTCAAGCAGAGCGTGCAAGCCAATTTTAGAAATAATTATCCCTTAAAAGCAAAATCCCAACTAACTGAACGCATGGCTGGAAGTATAACGAGACATGCACAAAGCAGTGGCAATCAAAGCAGAACGTACAAGCAAGTCAACTTACTGCTAAGTGAAACGAGGCAATAGTATAAAGCATAAAACAAAGAGCAACCAAGCAAAGCGCAGGCTCCAGTAAGCAGAGGTAATTCAAGCAGAGCGTGCAAGCCAGTTTTAGAAATAATTATCCCTTAAAAGCAAAATCCCAACTAACTGAACGCATGGCTGGAAGTATAACGAGACATGCACAAAGCAGTGGCAATCAAAGCAGAACGTACAAGCAAGTCAACTTACTGCTGAGTGAAACGAGGCAATAGTATAAAGCATAAAACAAAGAGCAACCAAGCAAAGCGCAGGCTCCAGTAAGCAGAGGTAATTCAAGCATCCCTTAAAAGCAAACTCCCCACTACCTTAATGCATTGGTTCACAGAGCAGAGAGCACAATGCAGGACATGGAAGCTAATCTATTCGTCTTGTTGTTCTGGGCGCATTGTTCAACCTCTGATATTCGTAGGTCAAGGCATTGAAAATTGATATTTCTACCGAAAATGGCATATTATGCCCATGAGGTGTTGTTGCCTTTCACACAGAACATGATTTCTATTTCTTTATTTAGATCAGTGATGCAGAATTGTGAGAGGAAAAATCTGAGATGGGTGCTGGAAGCCCAACTATGAACGTGTTTTAATTATTAAAGTTGCGCACCTTTTGTCAACAAAGTTGTTTCTAAAAATCTGCTTTTTCCAACATTTTACAATCATTCTGTGTGAACTTGAAGACAATCGGATTACAAAGATATAAAGGCCAGGCCCAACTTTGATGAAGACACACCTATTGTCAAAATCATGTGAAAGTACTTACATGGATGTGCTTTTAGCACAACTCAGCTTTCCTATCACACCTTACTTACTGATTTGTTTGAGGATCTAAAATGCATGCTCTGAGTTGAAGGAAGCTACACCTTCTGGGTAGAACAAAAATTGTCTTAGCTATGACTCAAGATAACCCCTTGACAAGACAACATCACTATCTTCTTAATTTTTTTTTCTTTTGGCTTTACAACTCGACACTTACGTAGGTCAGGTCTAAATTGAAAGGACATTCAAGCTTTCAAAAATCTTCTAATTTCTTACCAAACCTATCGCTACATGCTCATAAGACTGCTCAAAAATCTTACTGAGGACTCTGTTTGGTCAGTAACAAAGCAACTAGTGAGACAATGATAGATTTACACTGAATACAAAATCATGCATGCTTGTTTAGTGTTCAATTTTTCCAAAAATTTAACAGGAACAATGCAACTGTATGACACATGTTAATGAAATAAGATATTTCAACCATAAAATTTTTGTGTGTGCAATTTACTTACACATAAAAGACCAGACATTTGGGTGCTTTTGAGCAACAGCAGCTCGGAGAGTAGAGTTGCAGCTCTCACTCTGCCTCTACAAGTTGTTCATAATCTGGTCGTAAACATTCTGAATCCTATGTGAAGCTCTTCTCAGGAATGAGTCAATGTCAATGAAGCCTCCATCTAAGTCCTCAGTAAGTCCGGCAATGACTTCATCATTAGCGAGGACAGAAGCCTTTCGCTTTCTGCTTGGCTGAAAGCCCGCATCAAGAGTGCATAGATCAAAATAGGAGACATCTTCTAGATGTAGCAATGCAACTGTAAGACACATGTTAATGAAATAAGATATTTCAACCATAAAATTTTTGTGTGTGCAATTTACTTACACATGAAAGACCAGACATTTGGGTGCTTTTGAGCAACAGCAGCTCGGAGAGTAGAGTTGCAGCTCTCACAGGCATTGGAGGTGCGGTGAGGACATTTGTAAACGCTGAACATTCTCTTCTTTGATGGGGTGTACCATGTGTCTCTTATGTAAATGAACATGGGCTGCAGGAGCTGCCAATGGCCCTCCTCATAGCATCGCAAGGAGAGAACTGTCAACCCTTCATCGAGCCTCTGATGTGGAAGCAGTGCCAGAGCACACATTGAACGCACTAGACTATCCACCTCCTCATTGTCTCGTATGATAATAGCAAGTCCAATGCTCTTGGCATGACCAGCAATAGCCTGCGAGTAAAGACATTATTGACATTATTTAAAAACAACAAAAAATTTTATTTCTTGCTCAAGGCAAGCGCAAACCAGCAATTAAATGAAAGTACAGTCATACCTTTGAGCTGTGAAAGAGGCAGCCATTGACTTCAATGTGGGGAAATACTTCCAGCCAAGCATTGCTTTGAGCAGTTTCAAAGTCACAGTTCACTTTCCTGGGATTAAATGTTGGCATTGCTGTTTTTAATGCTGTCAATGCTACAGTGTAGCATGCTTGAAGTTTGCTTTGCATAAGAACTCTAACCAAAGGAACAATCTACAAAATTGAGATAATTTTTCATCAATGGAAAAGAGAAAATAAAAGAAAAAATTTTGTTGAAGTAACCTTGAATATACTCACATGATTTCGGCGTAGGGCTAGGATTGTCCACACTTGGGCACAATCCAACGCTGCGGGAACACTTGAGAATGTGGCGTCGCTCATTACTTCTTTCATGCGACTCATAAAAGCCATCAGTCGCCTTGAAATGAAAATCAGTACCCTGGTCCGGTCCCTAGTCTGTCCAAACTTCCCCAAGAAGATGAAATCTTCAGAATCAAGCGTCTTTGTAAGAAAGGAATACTGTTGATCCTCTAGAACAGCAGCAAGCTCACTAAGGGTGTGAGGTATGGGAGGGAGTGTCGATGCCCTGGCTCTATCCATAGATGGTCTCAGTTTCACAAAGTGCCAATGAGCGGCAGCAACGGGGTGCACCCTGCATGAATAAAAAATAGATCACAAAAATTGGAATGCAATGAACAACAGACGTATCATGGTGCTAAACTACTTGCCTCATTCTTCTCCGTACATTGTGGTATATCGTGTTCAGAGACAGTGTAGCGGATTCTGTGCGCTTGCATTCATTCATGATTGCTGAACGAAAGCGACGCCCTACAACGAAGTAGTTGTTCTTGACGCATCTGTGGCGGTGTACAGTTCCTTCGCGAAACTGAGAACCGTTGCGAGCACAGGATGCACGTCCCATGCAGCGCCTCGTAGTGTTATAATAAAGACACCTCAATGAAGCGCGGCCTCCTCTCATAAATTTGTTAAAATGGTATGAGAAGCCGTCGGGGCCATGGAAATAGAAAGTGCCCTCTCGTATCCCTTTCTCGACAATCACGCGCGTCATGACTTAACCTGAAAGCAAATACAAATACAAAGACGATTTTCAATACCCAGACAAGGTTAGCTTGAAAACAAGTGAATAATGAGGAACACCCTTACTTCTTAAAGACGCAGCAGTGAGTGAAAAGCTGTTTATTCATTTCACTGCATACACACACGCTCACGATCCTTCCGATCCCCGCTCCAACTCACCAGGGCCACCAACTGCCAACTTACAGCACAGCACTTGCAGCCAGTGGAGTAAACCCATGGTTAACCTGTTTAGAAGTTCATGTAAAGCTTGGACAAAATAGGGGTCCAAGATCAATCATTTCTTCGGGCAACACACTGGGCACAACTTCAAAATGCTTGACATGGTGCAAATGATGAAACTGATCCGTTTGAAATAAAGTTTGTCAACATCTCTGAACCGCCATCTCTTCACCTATTCACCCTCAATGTCGAGTGCAAATAAGATACTTGTTGCTCTTCACACTGCGGGAGAGCAGACAACAACAGCCGGGTGGCGTCCGAAAGTGCACCAATAGTTCGTCCACAGCACTGCGCAGCGAGAGGACGTAAGCGGAAAAAAAAGTTGGCGTGCTGAAAGGGCATGTCTCAAGCTTTCTGAAGGTACTTGTGCCATCACAGCGAGGCTGCGGGGCAACGAGCGACACGCGCTGCAATGTAAGGGAGACGTTTCTGATGCAGCCCCAGACAATGTTTTTGTTGTTGTCTCCGCCAGCCCCTTCGTTTTCGCAAAAGTGAGTTCTCGCTATTTTGCGAGTGCTTTTGTCTCTCAGCTTCACTAGTCTAGTGCAATAGATTCTTTCTGCACTTTTGCATGCGTGTTGCGTCTCCTAATGACTTCGCCAAGTTGTGTCTCGCATTATTGGCTTAATATCGTCTCGTATTTTGGTGACCTAACCCCGTCCGGATGGCATAGGCAACTTTTCTGTCTGTATGTTATTGCTCTTGCCTAAAGTGCTGCCTCGTCTTTTTGTACAGGTATGAAAGGAGCATTCTGTTATCACCGAGGAGGAAAGTTTGCAGGGGAGCCATGCTGAGAACAACCACTTTTCATTCAACAACTGGATGTAGTTGGGCGGCAACAGCATGGACAAGACGGAAAGGTAAGAAATGCAGTCCAATTATCATTTTTATCAATAGAATGTAGGCTGTGTATTTAAGAATATTAGGAAGTCAATTTCATACCGTTTATCAGTACGGTGTTGTCACAAACATTAGAATCTGCTTCACAGACTGTAAAATTATGTACGTTATTGTTGATTACTCAAAGAATGAAAGTGCAAAGTTTGCTCTCTCTGAAACTTTATTTTCTCTCTCCAAGAGTAGTGTTCATAGTCTGTAAAAATTCCTCTCTTTGTTTTTATTATTAAAAAGTTTCATTCAAAATCATGAAGTGTAGTATGTGTCTCAACTGTACCTCCATTGTTTTTAACTGTTCCCACTGTTTGTTTTGCAGTCAAGTGCGTTGATCATCAGCTTTAGAAGATGTGGACTATTAAGTTTTACATCAAGGTGAAAAGGCTGTGTCGCCATCACTGCAGCCCTGCTTGGTGAAAGAACATTGTTTCCAGACTACAGCAGCTTCTGCAAGTAAGTGTAGTCACCACTTGTATGTCATTGTTTCAGTCCAGCTTCAGTTAATTTGTCTCTGGCAACGCTGTTTCATCTTGTTTGAAGAACACATACTTCTTTTTAAATTCCTCATCTCTTTTCATAAGCTCTAATTCTCAAAGATGAACCTTCAATAATAGAAATTAAAATACTATGATTTCCCTTCACAGTCAAAATTAATTTTTAAGTGTTGTTCTTTCTCCTTCTGTCTCTCTTTAGGCTAAAACATCTCGTGTCCTGGAAGCTGTTTACATCCGAATACTGGACCTTCACAACTCGGGATCATCTTTAACTGAGAGACCCCATTCAAGACGGCTGTGACTCATTGCTTTCGTTTCATGAATTTTAAATTTAGTAATATAATTCCTACTAACTTTTAATGTATGGCATTGTTTATTTCCAAATATACTGCTAAAGGAATACTCGAAAGGTAGATTTGAATGCTTTCAATGATGTCAAGTTTCAATTATATTTTCCCTGCATCCATCAAATCTCAGAACTTGTAGGGCAGCGGTAGCAATTGGTTCTTACTTGAGGGCAAGGATCAGGAAACATGAAAACCAGCCTCAGCAGTCTAGAGACTGTAAGAAACAAATCATCAACATTCAGACCAAACCAGGGGGAACAATTCATGGATAGCACTACAAGGTAAGTGTGTGAAGAGTGAATGCTAGAACTGATCCAGGTATAAATACTTCTGGAATGTTCTAGAGTCCTAAAGGCCTTAAGGACTTTAGCCCACAAGAATCTTTTCATACATTTTGTAATTTTCTTTGATAGTTCACTTTTTAAGTGGAAGATGCATGAAGCCGAGATATTATCTTAAATTAAATTGAGCTGATTTTGTACGATGAATGAGCGCATTCTCCTTTGCTTGTAAAATGGAGCCTGGGCTTTCATTACGCTTGAAATTGAGCGTACTAACTTTACGCTTGAAGCAGGTCGTAAGAATTTCTGACCTGGCTTGAGTACGCTTGGCTTCAAGCGTACAAACTCTACGCTTGAAGCAGAGCGTTCCAGATTTTAGTACGCTTCAAAGAGGCGTAATACTATGCCTTAGTTTTACCAGTGAAGTTTTACCAGTGAAGATGAGTGTCAAATGTAAAATTGACTTGAAATGATTTTGTTTGCTTCATTGTGGTCCCTCTTTTAAACTTTTCATCAAAGTAAATTCTTGTCACCTGTGACAGTGTTTATCACCCCCAATTATTTTGTTTATTATTTTTCTGTAAATGACAACTTATTCTGTCAATATTTTTTTATGCCAATGATGAAAAGAAGAAGAAGAAGCCGGAGATCCTGAAAACAACCATCACAACAAAGCTAAATAATTCCGCAGGCCTAAATAAACAGCAACTGAATAAGGAGGAAAAGCAGAAGCAGCAACATCAGCAGCAGCTGAAGCAGGAAGAAAAAAAGCAATTAAAATGATACTTGAAAAATAATTGGTATTGTTCTGTTACATACTGAATCTCGTAATAAAGGATTGATACATAAACATGTTTGTTATTAATTCGATCAATGTCTACTCCAACCATTTCATTTCGTTATTCAAATTCTGTACTAAACTGATCATGTATGATCACACACAGACACACATATGCCAATGGCATTATCCTATCCAAATCCAAGTCATTTAATTATTTGTATCATCTTTTTTCAGAGTAAAGGCCAAAACCACTTACAAAAACGTACAACACTAAACAGAGGAAAAGCATAATCAGAACTAAACAATTGAATAAAGTTCTTTATCAATGAAATAATCCTTAGGTGTCTTTTTAAACTTGTTTATGTCCTTAATAACTTTAATACTGGATGGAAGCCTATTTAGAAAAGTTGAACCTTCATTTAATGCATCGTGCTCACCAAAATTACCTCTGGAATTTTGTATGAATATCCTTTATTCTAGTATTATGGGAGTGGATTTCAGAATTCAATATAGTACATATAGAGAGAGAGAGAGAAGGGAGAGTAAGAATTTTGAGCTTTCTAAAAATAGTTCTACATGATGCATCACACGGTAAGTTAGACAATATCCTTACAGCAAGTTTGTGCAATTTGAAAATTTTAGTAATCCTACCAGCGGCTGCACTGACCTATCTTACAAGTCCATAATTCATATGGGAGAAGAAAGTAGCATACTACTTATTCAGTAATAAACTGGGAGGAAGGCATCACAATTGTTTGAGTATAAAAGTACTCGACCTGAGTTTTTAGTTACTTCCAAATGCACTGCCCAATTGAGGATTTTATCCAGTACAATCCTAAGACTTAAACATATTCATCCTCTTGTATCTGAGAACTATTAACATTCAAGATAATTATTTGGCTATGAGCTCTGTTCTTGAGGGTGCTTATCATACACAAAAAAAAAATCACTGTCTATTGATTTCATGCCCAAAGATTCTGAATGATGACGTGCTGTGAGGGCCCAAGACCTCTGTGACGTTGGTCTCATTTTAATTTTAGATGTCTAATATATTGAACAAGTGCTTGTTGGCGAGTATCTTCCTGTCATGCTACTGATGCTTGTTCTTCTACCTCAGCTGCTTTTGGTCAAGGGTGATAAAATGTGGTCTCTTACTCATTTCTTTTGGGGTTTCTTTAAAAAAATTTTATGTGAGTGAGCCGCACTTGCATGGATTTGTCACAGACACTAGCATGTCAATACTTATTTGTTGAATTTCATGGAGGCACAGGTCTAATTTGTTTGTTATCCTTGAAAGAAGAATTTAGGGTTTAGTAAAACTTAGCATGTAAATTGCAGAACACATTTATTTTCAAAATAAACAATAAAATTAAGTGAGAACTTTTTGTTCTTGTTTTTGGTGAGTGGCATTCCAGATGTTCTACTCTACTTGATCACTCTTGACTTTCAAGGCAGGGTTCGACAATAGCAGAGTATTCAATAAAGTTGGTTTTAGCCTCTTCCCATGAGTAGTTATGTATTTTCATCAGGGAGAAGATGATAGCCTGACAAGATACAAAAGGAGGATGGTCAATACTTAGGCATCAAGCAGGCAATGTGGTTCTGATGCACAAACAGTTACCTCTGGCAGTAGCACATTATACTTCATATTTGCTCCTACTTCATAAGATTCCAAGCAGTCCAACAGTGTAGTTTGCTGAGAAAGGTACAGAAAATTTAGCATAAACAATTTTCATTGCTACATCAAAAGGTAACATTGAAAGCAGCTCACCAAGTCCTTAAATAAATTAAAGGGCCCAAGCCCTGCCTGCGTTTCATTCTTCTGGATTTCGCCTCTAGCAACCATAGCGAGGTGTCGTTGACACTCAGGACTGGCCACAATAGTGAGCACATTTAGCGCTTCCCTTTTAAGGTGCTCCTCATGAAACTGTGGGAGAAAACTTGTTGATAAGGCATGGAATGTTTCAAGCTAATATATTAATGATAGGTATAACAGCTGACCTTGCTTGATGCCCTCATGTGCCCAGCGGGCACATGCTCCAGCTCGAGCAATGCCTCCTCAGCAGTCTTTGTACCTAAAACATATTAAATGCCCAGAATATTTTTAAAAAACTATGACTTACAATTAAATTGAAGCATTAAAGAGAAACGCAGGACTTGAAACTCCAATAGTCATGGTAATTCTGATCAAAGCGAACTCGAATTCTTTTTTACCTGGAGTTGTTTGTGGTACTACAGCGTTCATGCCCCTTGCCTCCTGCCTAGTCATCCTCCGTTCAGGTTTTTCTTCTGGCTGGTTATTGGTCTTTGCTTTGGAAATCTTTGTTTTGGACTTCTTTGCTTTGGATTTCTTTGCTTTGGATTTCTTACCTACAAGTTAAAAATGATTTCACAAAAACAAAAAAACAGAACAATAAACTTAAGATATAAGAAATGTTTACCTTTTTTCAACTTCTTGACTTTGGTGGATTGAGATTCTAAATCCAAAGGCTGAAAAAGGAAACAAAAACCATTGTATGACAACAATAAAGTGCATGTATTTTTCTCAATGATAAAGGTGATCCTACAATAAACTCATCAAACTCATCGCTCATGAACTGGTGTTTTCATTGGTATGGACTTGTAGGCCAAGTGGTTCCTCTCTGTAATAAAAATGGGGTATAGTCTTGTAGAGAACAGTATTCCTTATGCTCTAGGACTTTTTTCAGTCTTCTCATCACCACACATATTATTATATAACGAAAATAAAATTGTTTGATGTAACTTATTCAAAGTAACAATTTTATTTTGGTTATAATATATATAATATGGTGATGAACAGACTTAAATTAGTCTTAAAGCATAAGGAATAATGTTCTCTACAAGAATATGTCACAATTTGATTGCAAAGAGGAACCACATGGCCTGCAAGTCCATACCAATGAAAACACCAGTTGATAAGCAATGAGTGAGTTCATTATAGGAGCACTTTAAAGAAAGATAAAACAAAACAACTTACCGAATCGCTGCTCCTGTCCAGCTCCATGTCCAGTTCTTCGATATTATCCCCATCATTGTCTTTAATGTCACTAATTTCCTCAACCTTGGGGCTCTGCTTTTCATTTGAATCGCCCTCTTCCAGTTCACGGATTACAGGTGTTTGAGTTTGCATGGGCATAGAATGCGGCATAGAAACCTTTCAGGACAAAGAAAACAGATTGAGTATGCAGTCAAGAAGTGAACAAACACTGAAGAGAGTTGAATTCAAACGATTACACACAGTAATTCTTTCGTAAGTGTATGTTGGCTGAGGAGGCTGGTTAGCAAGTGCCGAGGTGGGCACACCTGGAAAGCCTGGCATTGCACTGGGCATGAGATTCGGCATTGGCATCGGCATTGGCATGAGATTCGGAATCAGGTTGGGCATCAAGTTGGGAATGATGGGGACCATCATTGGCATGCTGGGCATGCCCATCATATTGGGCATACTTGGGTAAGACATGGGCAAGTTTGAACTAACTGTGCCATTGTTTGTCGATAATCGTTGCTGCATTAGATGCTGCTGTTGCAGCCACTGGTTCATATCTCCCTGTAACAAATAGTGATATGTGGTACTTAAGATCATTGACAAAAACAGCCTCCAGCACGATATGCACGGTAATACACATCAAATAAAGAGGAGAAAGAGACACGAGAACCCGATTGCAGCCTAAAGATGCCAGAGCTCTGGCCGGTCTTCCTCAACCCTCCATCCCCTCCATCCTCACATATGTAAAGAAAATTGACGTTCGAAGAAAGCGTAGCAGTAGGATAAACCACAAATTGTTCTTACCATGATAGCCTAATTCGACCGCACTATTAAATCAATCAGACAAGTCAGGCAAGAAACGGCACGCCACACGCCACAACCCGCCACTTTGATATGACTCGGGCGTTGGCAACCACAAAGTGATAAAACTGCAAAAAACCAACTTTTCTAAAACCGTCTTTTCCAAACACAAATCTTTCAAACATCCTACATATAGGCATTGAGTTAATTTATAGTATTGGACGCCTCCATCGTGTGCGTAAATTTCAAGAGAATCACAGTTAAAATTATTTACATTCTCTGTATTTTTTTGTAAGTTAGCAGTCCTGCCACCACGAACCAACCGCCCGCCTCCTACATTACCCCCACCACACCACCAACTCCCGCCCAGTGAGAAAGAAACGCGGCGATTCCTTTGTTCTTGGTTGAAATTAATGCTTTTTTCGGCATAGAAATGTCGGTAAGTAAACGTTATTATTTGCTTTTTTCGGCACAGTAATGTTGTAAAGTAAACGTTACTAGAGGAGGCTGCCTTCGGGTGCCTTGCTGCACCCCTAAGGTTGTCTAGGCTCTCGGTCGGCCGGTGCAACTTCGCTGCCTTTAATATCTTTAGATCATTTCAAAAAGTTTCGGAAGTAGTCGCTTCTGAATTTTACCCCTTCATACGATTTGCGATCTAGCTAGTCTCAACGAAAAATCGCTCCCCCTGACCTTTGGTTAGGAGGGCACCGCGATAGTCGTAGCTCTTGCTCTTGCTCTCAGATTGATCTGTCTGAGAGGCTTGTACCATGAGAAAGGGCTTGTACAGTCTATTGAAGATTGGAGGGAAGGGCGGGTTGTGGTTGGGGATGAGTAAAACAATTAGATTTTCTCTCTCAATCATTAATTTCTTTCTCCACATTCCCCTGCCCTCTTTGGTCCAATGCACACTGACAATGAAAGAGTCAATAGTCAGGACTAAAATTTTGGGCATGGCATTCTAGGTGGGAATCATTATGACTCAAATTTGGGTGAGGTAGCCATCCTCACCTAAAATTGGGTGAGAATCTGTGCATATAGGTAGCTACTATACCTTTCCTCACCCAAATTTGGGTGAAAAAGTACTTGCCCAAAATTCGGTATTGAACAAGACATTTTCATTCTCAGTTCATTGTAAAAACTTGCTTCAGTCTTAGAGCATCACTTATGTTATTGGAATTTCCCTCCTTACGTAAGCCCTAGTACATTTATCCTTTGTCTGTGCAGGAACCAAATCAATGGCAGCTGTGGCAGCAGCAGCAGCTCTTAGCGGCACAACTGCAAGCTGCACAACAGCAGCCGATGGCAATGTATCCTATGCCACCTTTGTACCAACAGCAATTTCCACAGCAACTTATTGGACAGCAGCAGATGCCACAGCAACTTTTTGGACAGCAGCAGATGCCACAGCAACTTATTGGACAGCAGCAGATGCTGCATCAAATGCCGTTCCCCATGATGATAAATCCACCCCAGGCAATGTTCCCCCTGAACCCTGAACTACATCCCATGGTATGTATAATATATTGGAGTCTGGGTGGCTTTTATGTGGTCGTTCTTTGCCTGTAATGTAAACCTTGAATTCTTTTTATTTAAATTTTTTAAGGGTTTCATGCCACGGACAAATGAGGAACATGCGGTGGTTGAGAAATGTGAGGATAATAAAAATGAGGCATGCAAGAAAGATGAAAAGAAAAGAGATGGAATAAAAAAGTTCGAAGAGAATGATGAAACAGGTATTGAGGAAGCACCAGAGACTGAAACTGTGGCATGTGCGACTGCTTTTGTAAGTTTATATGTTTTGGCAATCTTAAACGTGAAGTTACAATAGTCCATTACTTTATCAAAGTCAATGAATGTGTTTAACTGTCATTCCTATGTGATTTATTTTTGACATTTACTTTCTTCCTTGGGCAGAAATCTCTGCAGTCTAAAAAATCAAAGAAAAAAGAATGTGAGGAGGAAGATGAAGACTTTCAGAGTGTCAAGGCGTTTGCTGTGAGTATGCAGTACTGGCTGATCATGAAGTTATAAAATAAAGTGTGTAACTGACCATAATTCTTGTAATTTAACAGGCGTCTTTGAAAGCTAGGGCTAGCTCAGAGAAGAAGCCTAAAAAGGTAATTATTTTCCAGCATTTCATATGGTTTCCAATTACTATCTGAAATTGTTTTTTCTTTGTTTTTGCTGATGTGAAGTGTCTGGCGTCTATAATTTCATTCTTTTGCCCATAGGTTCAGTCTTCTAGTGAAGAAGAAGAAGAGCCTAAGAGGAAAAAGAAGAGGAAGGTGGTCTACATTGATGATGAAGACGAAGATGAAGATGAAGAAGATGAAGATGATGAGGATGAGAGTGAAGATGAAGTGGAAGATGTAGTGAGTTGAGCTTTCCTTAATTAAACATCCTAATTGATCTTTGAAAATAAAATATTTACTGTTTTTGTTATGTTTTTTGTTCTTAGCCTGCCAATAAGAAAAAGCCGGCTAAAGGTAAATGGGCCAGGTTTACCAAGGTGATTTATATTTTCCTTGTTTGCAATCTGAAGACTGTATAAATTGCCTGTTTCAGGGCGTAAACCTGCTGCAGCAACCAGGGGACGAAAGAAAGGATCGGTGAATGTGCAGCCCAAGAAGGATGAACTAAAAGCTCAATTGGCTGCTGCTAAGAAGAAAATTAAAGAATTAGAAAAAGAGAGAAAAAAAGGTGACTAGGAATGTAAATTCAGTTTTTTAATTGTATTTAAGTTTTACTTTCTTTTGCTGTTTCTTTCAATTTCTTTTCTAATGTCCTACATTCCATTATTTTGCTTACTGGTTAGTTTTGCCAATCTTTTGTAGTGTATGTTCTTTTGCAATCTTTAGACCTGATTATTTAGTTCCATTAATAGTCTCATTTGTGGAAAATAATCAATTCTAGGCCAGGACAACTAAATGGACTCCCTGTACCTTTTGAAGTTCTTCCTACAGTAATTAATAATTTTGTATAATCTTCTGATATTATATGAAAGAAAAAGTTGACGTTTGTTAGAACATTTTATCCAATGACACTTTTTAAAGAAATAAATCTCAGGTGGATAAGTTTTTGGTTTATTTTCCCTATACATCACTCATTAGAGTTCCTCATTTGTCATCACAAGTTACCTATTTATCCTCATCAATTTGTTGATCTTCATCTGTTTAAAATAGCAGTAGAATAGCATTATGCAGGCATTTCCAATGTCAGTCATACATGACGTCACATGATCATG